TTGGACTAGCTACGCTATAGATTAATGAATCCACAAGAACAAAAATGTGATGTCAATGTACAGTAATCTAATCATGCTTTCAAGTTATGTCATAAATTTATGGCTTGAAAATTCAAAGGAAGTTATGGAATTCATACAGGCATGACACTGGAATAAATTTCCACCAACAACCGTTTAGCAAGAGACTTCATCTAGAGTACTCTAACCACTTGAAAGACAATCAACTGAACCGATAATAAGACACAGTAACACACGAACAACACAGTTAACACATCTGAAAGTTTATGGGACGAAGATCTATGTCCTCAAACATAAATGGAAAGAATTCAAAGAATGTGTGAGAAGCTGCTTAAATATTCATCTGTAATGAGAGCTGTCTGCAAGCTAAAATTGTAAGCAACAATTTACGTCAGTGTTTACGTTCCGGATCGGGGTCATGAGAAAAAACAAGAACAAAGCTTAACCTTGATGAACTCATCAACCAATCACAGAAGACTTAACTTGGGCACATACGATTCGCAGATAGTTGACCGGAGTGTCTAAGAAACGGCTTCAATGAGATGATTGAATAACCTTCAGCAAGGAAACGACCAATCAGAAGACGTTGCTATTCTACTAACAATGACGAATAATAATGTACATAGAAATCAATAAACATCTCTAGAATTTCTCAATCAACGATCTGTTGCCTAACCTTTGTCTTCTGTCGTTACACATATACTATGTAATTATACCACATTTTCCGTTAAAGTCAATGTAAGAAATGTTACTGAGCTTGGACACTGAACTTCTGTTACTCAGCCTTCAATCCCAAACAACTTTCATTGATTAGACAATTATAATGGCTTCGTTCCAAACAGTACTTTTGGTATAATGTTGGATTTTGAGCATGTGCTTCAATACTGCATCTAATTTTCCCTTTACAACACATAGTACAAGAGGGCATTTACATGAATAATAATGTCAATAACAGTGTGCATATAAAATTAAAATAAATTGAAGATAGTGACAACGATGCATTAGTGAAAGAAATAATAAAAAGAGCCGTTTACTTAGTATTTCTCAGTGAGTTAGAAGTTTCATACCTAACACTTCTTATCATTCGAAATGCGTGCCGAGTAAGGTACTGTAGAGTTTTTTATACTTATTTATCCGAACACAAAGTCTTTTATAATTCCTGCTAGTCCTACATGGTGAGATGTAAGAGGAGAGTTGTGTATAAAAAGGATGCTCAGAGTTCGATAAGATGATATTCGCTAATATCTTGCATGATTTCAAGTGTCTGTCTACAACAGTATTAACAAGTTAGTTTAAAGACACCCACTCGTCCTACCTACAGCTTTTGGTATCCTTTGAAAAGTAACGAAGCCTTTCCTAAGTAGCCTAGGAAAGAATTAGGGAGTGGCAATTAAGAAGAATTGGTAGAATATAACAATCAATAAACTGTAAAAGTAGAGACTGAGTGATACTAGATTATCTTTATTTCCTTGGACGAAATATCTTTCTAGAATTTAATATGATGAGAGAAGACCAAGAAAGAGATAACTCGAGGTATTTCCCCTTCAACTCATTTTCAACTTCAGCGCCACCTATGATACAAAAATCATCCGAACGAACCAGTTCAAATAAATGGCGTTTGTATCCGAAAGCGAAATTAACAGTTTAAGACCATTGACAAAAAACACTGACTACTGATAAAAGTCTGTTCATTTCCAGACAATCTAACTGATACGTGACTGGCATGGGAACAGTCAAATCATCGACATACCTAACAAAATTGGCTTGATCAGCATGAGGTAAGTTATGTAAGAAGTAATAAGAAAAACGCAGAGAAAAACTGCTGCAGGAAGTAAAGCAGTGGAAGACTTCCCGTTATATACAGTTTACTGTTCCCGATCTGGCACATTGATTGTGTCACAGCAAGCTTGTTTAACGGAGGAGGCTTAGTTGCAGAATCTGGGAAGGCACATCAAGCATGCTTAGCACTTCTGTTTAAACTGAAAACAGTATTATGATGTAAGACAACAGGGGTACTCAAAGTACCTATTCCAAGCTTACATGCAAATTGTTTAGGGTCGTTAAAAGCCTTCAATAAAGGTTCAAGGTTTAGCAAAAGAAGAAATATTTACTTTTCAATTAGATCCTCATCTCTGGCTCTACTCTAATATATATAGCATTTTTTACAATACACAACAATTTACCAAACAAGTGGAGCCAGCTACACTGGGCGTACAATTAGGCAGTTTCATCGTCGTATTTCTGAACATCATCCAGCGTGGTTAAGCAAGGGACAAACAAGATCTATTCGTAGTTCTATTTTAGCACACCTTGTTGATACTGAGCACAAGGTTGATGTGAATACTGCATTTAAAATTATTTATCGCATTCCGACTAATCTTAACTTTGCTCTACGAGTTCTACAGACAGCTGAAGCAGTCGGAATCCACCAGAAGAAACCAAGCCTATGTGTACAGAAGAAATTTGTACAGCCACTTTCCCTACCGTGGCCATCGTTACAAGACAGGACTACGTCGTCCCCCTCCCCCTATTAAATTATAATTATCCAAATTATTTTATTTTCATTTATTTTAACCACTTCATCTTTAATTACGTGTTATTCTTGTAAAATTAATTTATTTTTATCCACTTCTACTTTTTCAATGTGTATTGATTTTCTTCGTTAATTATCAACCCATTGACATTTTGACACTGTTTAATTATTGTTAACAAACATATCGCCACTTGTTTGGTAAACTGTTGTGTATTGTAATAAAAGTGCTATATATGTTAGAGTAGAGCCAGAGATGAGGATCTAATTGAAAAGTAAACATTTCTTCGCTCAATCTTTCTGTTTTCCAAATGTCTAAATGGGGATATTTTCTATACTGAAAAGTAGTTTTTCTATTATTTTTAAAAATGGTGAGGTAATCGCGATAGATTTATACTTTACGTATGACTCACTTGATGATTTAGGCTCAGAAACAATCGCTATTTCTTTCCGAGAATCAGATACAACATCTGCAAAAAACGATAGGTTGAAAATATGAGTAAGGGGGTGACATAAAATATCCGAACATTTTCTGAGGACAATAACCGACACCCCATCTGGATCTACTGACTGAGTAGGCTTCAGGGATTGCAGACATTAGAGAAGATCACTTGTATTAAATCCAGGAAAGTGATCATTCTTTTCATTTGTAGCTTCAGAAATCATAATATCTGCTAGACGACATATGAAGGACCTATTTAGCCTATCTACATCAAATGAAGAAGGATCATTAATTTTTTGCTTTCCACTAGTAATTTCCTCCAACAGTTTCCATATGTTTGAAAAGGTTCTGTCTGATAATGTTTAATCTCTGTATTTCCTACTTGATCAAAATGTTTAGTCTGTAGCGGTAGGTAATTCCTCAGAATTATTGGCCACAGCATTCATCACTGAACATTGGATGCTGACCCTCACTGTTTAAGTCAACTTCCGGTCAAGCATCCATGCCATTTGGTACACCGTCGTGTCACGTTCGTTCGCTCGCGCACGATCCCTAGCTAGTTAAGCAATCATTTCGCACTCCGATTTGGTCCCGAAATATAACTCGTAATTTGGACGGTCAGTCCTGGTGTTTTGCTTTGCCTTTGGTCTACGCGGAACGCATACTATAGGAGTTGTGTGTATTAGATCTTGCGTTAGTATACTTCTTATTATCCGTGAACGTCAATATCCTCAGCCTCTAAAAGTCTTTTTACACCAGGATTATCTTTCATTTTATATAACCTTTCTGTTTCTCGACGAACCTTTCGAGTCGAGAAGAGGAAAAATCCTTTAATTACTTTTAAACTGTACACACCTACGAAGCAAGTACTCGTCATGCACCTTGTTCTGACTGCACAGTAACGTCTGCTCCTGAACGCACACAATATTAAAGGGCGTCATCACAGATGCACCCATGCTGATTGTATTTTCTTCATTTTTTGAGATGAATGTTTCTCGAACTTCATAAGACGGTCTATTGAATAAGAACTTCATAATGACTTTTTTATCACACAGTTTGAATATGTATAAATTTGTAATGTGAAACTTATTTTTTGGCATTTCAATCACTGGGGTTTTCACACAAAAGTATATTTGTAAGTCTAAGAGTTCGAAAATATATATTCAAACAGATTGGTAGCTTTTTAGTACTGCTCTGATGTTCTCCTTGATAACCTCAACTTTTCCCTGTAGTGGAGAAATTTGTTTTAGTCTACGTCTAAAAAGTTTATATAACGCCAAATGTTTTTTGCATAATTACATGAGCACCCGTCAGTAATTTAACAATTAAGACGAAATGTAGACGGAGTCATTTCAATATTGTCAATAGTATTATGACAAATATCTCAAAGCAGAAAGCATCTGTATTAAAATGAGTAATTATCCAGTTTTAAGTGATACGCGTCCAGCTAGCATTTCCCAACGGAATTTCGCCTTTCAAGACGGGAAAATCCACGACTTTGATTTACTAACCAGTGGTAGCTAAGGCTATCGAAATGAATTACCACCCACCCACTGACAGAAAAATAGACAAGCCCTTAGAAAAAGTCTAATATTTGGATAAGCTTTTTTCCCTGACTGGATTCTTCTATTGGGAGTCATGTTTTCAGTTCTAGAGAATTGTAATTGTGAAATTGATTGATAGATATACTTCTTATGTGTTTCATTTACTGAAATACGGTCTTAAAAAGTTAAAATAAAATAACTTTGAGAAGTATTCAGTACTCAACTCATTCGTCAGCAGATTAATATCCGATTTATATCTCAGGAACAAAAGAAATTACACTGACTTAGTAATTTTTGAAAACTATTTGATTAGGTGTATCCATAACACACAATTTGTTTTGAGAAATATCATTAATTGGTTGCAATCAACCAATCATGCTCTTACTTCATCTGCAAGCAAACCAATCAAAAATGAGTAGGCCTTTTTATAAATTAATCCACAAAGCTTTAGCTCTTACTTTTTGCTATGAGGAGGAAATTACCATGATAATCAGAAGATTTAGAATGTCGAGAATAAAATATATTCTTCTGTCTTTCAGCGTATGCTTCGCGATTACATTCTTTCTCATGGCTAATGTACTACACAGACCATCATCCGACACCGAACAAGTGAAATCACTCGCCTTTACAAGAAAAACAAAAATATCTGTATTAAGCAACCTTACAAAAAATCAACCACATGTAACATGCTTTGTGGAATTACAAAATGAATTACGTAGCCTCCAGTTATCAGATGTTTTTCATGCAGAACAACTGAATCGTATAAAGTTTGAGAATTCTCCATACTTCATTACACAAGAAACATGCCAAGATATCTGCAAAAAATTACCAGTAATACCAGTAAATATGACTGACAAATATAAGCCAATCGGTAATTTATCTGCAGCTATGAAACTGGAGGCAGATATTCATAAAGTGATTGAATTAAATCAACCAAACATTCCAGGTGGTGGTTGGACATACAAAGAAAGAAATCAGTGTGCAGATAAGACTGATAAATATAATCAAACTAGCGTTGCTATAGTTATAGCATTTCGTGAAAGATGGACTCAGTTAACAGGTGTTTTATCAACTCTTATACCATTATTACGTCGTCAAAGATTATGCTATCGGATATTTGTTACTGAACAAGCTGGAACTGATTTATTTAATCGTGGCATGTTGTTTAATGTTGGGTTTATGGAGGCTATGAAAAGATTTCATTTCGACTGTGTTACATTTCATGATGCTGATTTAGCACCGATCAATGATCTTAACCCTTATGGTTGTGATAAACAAACATTTGAAATGCCTGTTCATCTTGGTGTCGGTTTAGATACGCGTAAATTTCGCTTAAACTATCCCAGACTGATTGGTGGTGTGCTGAAAATGTCAAATCAGCATTTTGTTAAGGTGAATGGTCATTCAAATTTGTACTGGGGATGGGGTCAAGAAGATGATGATTTAGAAAGACGACTAAAATATGCCAGTATTGGTTATTATCAAATGCCAGCAAGTATAGCACGTTACAAAGCCTTACCACATGAAATACAAAGAAAAGATGGAAATACTAGAAGAATACATTTGAAACTTTTAGCAACAGCTACAGAGAGAATGCATTACGATGGACTTTCATCACTGTACTATAAAGTTGTACAAGTAACTCAGCATAAATTGTTTACTCATTTATTAGTAGATTTAGGCAAACAACCAAATTTTTATAACTGTTAACCATTGAACATTTCAACGCAGTTGTTGATTTAAACAAAAAAAGATAGTAAAATTGACTACCGAATAAAAATATACATAATCTAACAGAATAAATCAGGTTTAGACAGGGAAGCCCCAATTAATAATAACATTTTTAATAATTGTTTATAACTTGGTTGACTCTTTCTATTCTATGTAAGCTTACGAATTTGAGCAATATTATTGTTTTCAAATAGTGTGTCAAATATTCCCATATCATGAATTAAAAGTCATTCTGAACGAAGAATAACTGGCGATTATTGTGACGACAACAAATATATTATATTTTATAATTGTAAGAACCTGAAGAGGAGAAATTATTGAAATGAATATTCTTCGTTCAGATTAACTTGTAATATTATTGTTGCCACCTAGCCAACTAATTTATTTAGGGTGGCATCGTTTGCAAAAAAATTACATTTACATGGCTTTCGGGAATATAAACAGTTTCGCGAATACTTACAAGTGCTCACATGGTGTGTTATAAAATGAATATCATGCTGTACATTATCACATATCTTTACCAATTTAATTCTCTTATTACTTTCTTCAAATAGTTTTTTCTTTAATTTTAGGATAAGTATTATGGTAAAGGACAGCATTTATATATATGTAAGATTCTTAAAACATTTACTGTAGTGAATGCATATGCTTTCAAGAATGTAAATATATAATCGCATATATGATATAAATTTGTCAAATTATTGATCATGAAATACACAATATTTGTGGTTTTTTTGAATAAGACATTTTGATTATTTTATTATTATTATTATTGAATTAAATATATAAGTAGATACACATTTTGAATGATTGCTTCATATTCTTTTATACAATTTAAGTAGTTTATTGAAAATGGATAAATAGTTAATTTATAGATTTGATCACAAGCTGACATCCGTTAGAGAACTACTGGAAAATCACGCAGTACTGAACAGCTGCTTCGTTCTGATTCAAGATTCTTCAGCAGTACGCACTGACTGAGGTTCGAACTCAAAGCTTCCAAGTTACAAGGTGAGCTTGTAGACCATTCAGCCACTCGATCCAATGGCCCATATATATATACATATAGAAAGAGTGGGAGAGAAGAAGGGAGGGAGACAGGAAACACCAGCCATTGTCGTAGGTGCGTAACTGTTCTCTCTTACCTGGCTTGGTTGACATCCCTGGTCATGACTTCTCACTGGGACTCCAGATACCTTCGTTTGTACAGCCAGTCACTTGTGAGCATCATATTAATTATCAACTATTGGTATGCAGGGATTTGATATGTAAATGCTTAATTTCTTGATGAAACTTAGAGGATTAGGTATTTGTAAACATATCTTCCTGGCTCTTTATAACTCCATTTTCTTGTGATTAAGACATAAAATTTAGTAGTTAGCATATTTTATACAATGATCGAGTGGGGTGGGGGATAGAAAACTCGAACCGGTCACTTTCTCAATTATGATAATAGTTAATCGTATTAACAAGTAGTTTGTGGATGACACATGATCTCAGATGCATGTGGTAAATAAATAAGTAAGAAAGCTGATGAAGTGATCAGTAGTCAGTATTCTAAATTAATAAACGTAAATAACGTAAATAGCGTCGGTGGTACAGTGGCTAGGACTCTAGCCGACCGTAAACATGGTCCGGGGTTCGATCCCCTGCCAACGCACACCCGATATTTATGGTCGGCCTGCAAAATATGGGCTACCGATATCCATGCTGAAAATTCCATAATTGTACTGAAAATACTGTGTGGAATCAAGCTGTAATCAAAATCTAGAATAAAAAAATATGTAAAATATATACAATGACGTCTAGGAGTTTGATTAAGCGAAAAAATAATTGTGAAAAGGCTTGAGTTTAAAAAAAACATATTCACTCTTCGTTATTTTCACTTGCAGTTACTGCCCACTTTTACTTGAGACGAGTCTAGACAACTTATTCAGAGCATATTCCTAAATGGCTCCAGAAACAAATGGAATCTTCAGAACCTATTAACGGTGAGAACAGGAGACTTAGCTCTTCTATTGCGAAACATATTATAGAGACAGGACATAAAATTGACGTTAACAGATCTTTTAAACCTATCGATAAAACGTGTTCGGGGCGTATCCTTAAGTCTGTGGAAGCCCTAGCAATTTGAAAGTTTAAACCACCTTTAAGCGTTGAAAAACAATTCGTCATCACATTAAACCTTCCTTGGTAAATTTTGTTTTGATACCATAGCAGATGTACTATTACCTCTACTATTTGGTTTAGTTATCTTCATTGTTATTTTGATCTTCAATATGTCCTTTTAACTTAACCTAAGTAGTCTATTTTCTCACCTCTTACCTCTTTATTAATTTCATATATATTCCTATGACAAGTCCGTGTGTGATCAGATTGTTCGAAATGTGTTGCGCAAATACATTACACGATTCAGACAAATTGCGTCTTCTTACTGCTTTATCTAAATTATTTATTTGTATAATTTGACTGAAAGTGAACTTCAACAAACTGATTATTCTTAAGGTATCATCCTTTATTTGTTACTTATTATTTTATTCCTTTGCGTTGAGAGTGGGAAATGGGGCTTCAGACTCGAGCTTTCAAGTTTGGGAGATAGTGGTTTTGATTTTTACAGGATGGGGTTGCCAGCTTCATGCCTGACCACCGGCGCTACTCAGTTTAGAAGTGCAACGGTTGAGGATTGAACCCATGACCACGTGCATGTTTGACGAGCAGTCTGCCATTGCTTCATGAAAGTCAAAAATATCATACTCTACTTATAAGAAAATTAGAACTTTCTACTCCTTAATGGTCATAAATGTTTTGTCCACGTAACTTTACGCAAGTTTCTATTGACTGTGTAACTAATAAAGCCTGACGATATAAAGCATATTACTAGGCTATTTAAACACACTGAAATGAATCTGCCTAAGTTCCAGCTCACTCACAATCCCGACTGTTTGGATAGTAAGTATGAGTATTTCTAGTTTTTTACTTGTGTAACAGCAAGGCAGATCTGATGTGATCATGAAACACATTTCACTTTGGACACTGCAATCACGAGTACATTTTTCTAAAATGAAAAACCTCTTCTAAGCTATTCCCCTCAGTATTGTGGTAGAATACAGACCTATGTTTGACATTTGTCAGAAAATATATGCATATATGCACTTCTTGAAGGTTGAGTATATATCTCGTCTGTGAGTTCTGATGGGCATGGATCTTGGTATTATGATTTCATTTTCATGAAACCTTACACACCAAGCATTAACAGTTTGTGATGAATACCTTACACTGCAAGGAAGATAAATTTTTTCTCCACAAGCCTTTATTCAAAACAGTTATTGGTCAGCAGCTTTATTATATTTTTAAGCACTTGTTTTGTATAATGTAGTGCTAATTAACAATAAAACTTGACGGCGGTAGAATCCGGAACGGATATTCCGTTTTTAATAATAATAATAATAATTTGCTTTATTCCGGAAACAGTACTAGTGGTACAGTGTGGAATTTTCAGCACATATCTACAATATTTGCATCTAATTTTACCGACGTTTAAAATAGGTATTAAACAAACAAACAAACAAAAAAAAGTAAATCTGAAGACACCAACAGCAAAAAAAAAACCCAAAAAAGAAACAGGATAAACACAAAATAATTATGAATGCGAAAAAGTACCAAAGTCTACCAAGGTCTAATGCAGTGTTTGTGGTGGTAGTGTGAGTAATCCTGAATAATACAAAATTTTTTGAGGTGGTGACTATGGCATTCACAAACAATGATTGTCAGTTTAATATTGCCGAAAAGTATAGAAAATAAGAAAAACAACCACAAAACTAATAATTACATGATGGTTAATGACACGACAGTTTTGTAATACTCATAGTGCTAATATAGTCGGAACCAGTGGATACACAATAGAAGGAATATAGTAAAGTACAAAAAGGAAGCCAATGTTAATATTTCAGGTAGCTAAGTAAGTTTGAAGAAGGAGTTCACTAAAGAATACGAAATAAGAGAGAAATAAAAGAGTATGAAATTATGTTGTTAATAACAAAGCAAGTCACAGGTTTCACGCTTAACATTGTCTCTGTCACTTAGAACACGGGCCAAGTATGGTATCGTTGAGTTCCTGTACTTGGTTGTACGAGCATAGATTATTTTATACTGATTTCTGGTTTTACTTGATGAGATACAAGGAGAGAGTTGGGAATAGAGGGGGTGTTGGGGGTCTGAGAGTATGGTTTTAGACCATTTTTCACATGTATTCAGATGCCTATCCACTAAAGTAGTCACGAGCTGACTGAGATTAACACCACCAGTCCTACTAACTACTGTCAACATCCTTCTCAGGATGGAATAGTCCTTTTTCAGTAGACCAGGAAAGACTAACAGGGAGCAGTAAAGTAGAATAGGTAGGATACAAGAGTTGACAAATTGTGAAAGTAGAGGTTGGGTGATTCCGGATTGTCTAAGTTTCTTAATGTAGTAGGTTAGACAGAACACTTTCTTAGAAATCGTTAGGATATGAGATGTCCAAGTAAGGTCAGAAGATAGAACTAGACCGAGGTATTTTGCATTAGACTTAGTTTCAATTTTAGTCCCCTCAATGCAACAGTCTTCATGAGAACTTACTAGTGTTTGTAGATCTCGTTTATGCCTAAGGGAGAAGTCGACAGTCTGGCATTTTGAGGGATTCAGCATGAGACCATTTAGTTTGGACCACTGACTGATGTCCGACAGGAAGCTATTTAATTTGAGACAGTCTGACTGAGACTTAATGGAAAACGATACAGACAGGTCATCTGCATATTTGACGAAGTTGACTTCATCTGAGAGAGGTAAATCATGTAAGAAGAAGGAAAAGAGAAACGGAGAAAGAACAGCACCCTGAGGAACTCCAGCTTCAGTAAGCAATGGAGAGGAAGATGCACCATTATATACCGTGTACTGCATACTATTAGAGAAGTAAGAGTGCAGCCAGTTGATAACCCAGGGCTCAGTTTGTGCTAGGCTAAGCTTGTTTAACAATAGGCCTCTAGGTACAGAGTCGAAAGCAGATGTATAGTCAAGGAACGTACAACGGACAAACTTGGCCCCTTTGTCTAAGGAGGAAACAATGTTGTGATGAAACACAGCAGCAGCGTCCAAAGTACTTTTACCCTGTTTGTAAGCAAACTGCTTTGGATCGTTTGAGAAGCTTAGGGAGGGAACAAGTTTTAGTAACAATAGTTTCT